TCTTGGTAATGATGAGATATTCAAGATTATTCTCATCTATTGTCTCAATTTGATATCCATTTCGACGGATATCTTTAAAACTCAACAAGTTCCTCTTGGACTTGGAGGAGAACATTGCATTCTCTATGATAAGTATTGTTCCCTTAGACAAAGTTATAGTAGCTCTTCCAGAGCCTTCAATTAATTTACTACTACCAGAAATTGTAGTAACATCTGCCTTACACATATTTAAATGATAGAAATATTTCTTCTCTTTGAATATTGTATGTGTCGTACATGAATCAATTAAACAAATATTTTTACAACTGAACTTTGATCCCAGTTTGCTTTGTGGAATATCCATATTTGCTTCCCATTGTTTGACATACAAAAGAAATATACGAATAAACATTAGTATTTTCAGGAAGAAAAAAAACGTACTATTATCATAAACACAGACAAAAACACTACCATAATGCTTTTAAACATGTTTAAAATATTCACACAGTGATTTTGAAAATAATTCTTCTAAAGTACCATGTACCTATATGAATTTAAAGCAAAATAGAAGTGGGAACACGGTATACCATTCGGTCTATATCACTGTTAACAACGTGAATACTTACATGTTCGATAAATATATGTTTTCGTTACGTTAATGTTCTTGAAATCATATGTTCCGCTGACTTATTACATTTTAGTTTTAGTAGGATAGTTAATATTCTATTTTAAATCAAATTACCTATAAGTTAGGCCATTCCAATATAAGAAACGATAAGAAAGGTATTCGTACCATTATTGGAACATTGTATAAAACGAATACTAGAACTATATTTAATCAAAATGAACTAAAACTATTCCATAAAATAAATAATATTAATTGATACTAATGACTACTACTCGTGTAAAGAATTATGATTACATGATATTTATTCACTAACTACTATGAATAGGCAAAAATAAAAATTAAACTACTCAATCATCTTTAACCATGGATCCATCACCGATCAAGTAGTCTATTTTCCCATCATACTAATGGTCTATAAACATTAGTATTTTCAAAATCTTTATCAGAGACAAAATTAGCTTCAGGGCCTTTGTTCTTTAGAGATGCTTGATAAAGCTCAACCAAATATCTTGGTACACGACAAATATTTGCCCAATGGCCTTTTCCACTGCAACGATAACATTCGGTTTCTGAACCATTTGCCTTTGGCTTCTCATCTTTCCCTTTCCACTTTTGGTGGTTATTTTTCTTTGGGGGTGATTAACACCAGGAAAATTTCTTCCTTGTCCACGGCCATGGCCACGACCATGACCACGACCACGAATAGGGCCACGGCCTTTTCCACGCTTAGTATAATGGGAATACACCTCATCCACTTCATGCAATGGTGTAGACCCAGTGGGTCGATTTTCGTGATTTCTTATGAGCAAGTCGTTATTTCGCTCAGCCACAAGGAGAAGAGAAATCAACTCAGAGTACTTCTTGAAACCTTTCTCTCTGTATTGCTGTTGCAAGACCATATTGGAGGCATGAAACGTTGTGAACGTTTTTTCAAGCATATCATAATCAGTGATAGTATCTCCACAAAGTTTTAATTTAGAAGTAATTCTGAACATTACAGAATTATATCCAGAAACAGACTTAATGTCTTGGAGCCTCAGATGAGCCCAATCATATCGTGCTTGTGGAAGAGTGACCAACTTTAAGTTGTCATATCTTTCCTTTAAGTCATTCCACAAAACAAGTGGATCTTTGACTGTGAGATATTCTATTTTCAACCCTTCATCAAGGTGATGGCGCAAGAAAATCAAGGCCTTAGCACAGTCTTGGGTGGATGCTTTAGTTTTGTCTTTAATGGCGTCTCCAAGACCCATTGCATCTAAATGGATTTCAGCATTCAACACTCATGCCATATAGTTCTTGCCCGAAATTTCAAGGGCAACAAACTTTCTTTTCATAATGTCAGTCATAATTAAAAAGAGGAGAAAAGCTACCTTAATTTTCTCAAAGAGCTTCTTGAGATGGTAGAGTCTCGTGCTGATAACGTGTAATAAAACAATAAAAGTAGAAGAACAATATTGCAGAGAAAGAGAGAGAGGAAATTCTTATTGAATTTTGGGATCATTTACAATGGGGTAGGACCCCTCTATTTATAGGGGAAAAATGACTTAGCCACAAAGTAAAACTCTCTACAAGATAGACATTCACTCTAAATAGAATTCTATTCATAACAATTTGTTTATTTTTATTTATTTTTATTTTTTTGTTGGAGAGGGTGCCTGAAAAAATAGAAAGAACCAAATGGGGAAGTTTGGAAAAACATCTTGCTATATCATAGATATGTAACGAAATATAGATTATACTCATGAAGAAATATCTAATATTACGCATTTTCATGCGACAAAGTGTGGATTTCAATTTTTTTTTTAAAAGCTACGTGATAATAGGGGTGGGCGTTCGGGCAGTTCGGATTGGATATGAAAATTTCAATTTGAATTGTTGATTTTAAGATTGAAGAAATGACAATCCAAAAGTTCGGATTGATCGAATTTTTTAAGTTCGATTTCTGAGTAATCGGCTTGGATATTTTGGATTTTCGAATTTGAGCTTATAAGTTGAAATATCTCTTCTTCTTACAAAAATGAATATCCAAAATGAAGTACTCATGTTAAATTACCTGAAAAGTTCCTCAGTCTCGCCGTAAATCATCCAAATAAAGTATTCAAGTGAAATTATTATTAAAAAAATACAACAAAGACATTAATATTGTTGATAAGAAATAACAATAGTAAAATCATATCTAAATAGAAAAATATTTTTTCGGTAACTTAGTAATTAATATTAAATATATGAGATAATATCTAATGGGTAGGTTATTGAATTTATTACTATTGGCATTGGGATAATGGACTAAATATGAAGTATATAAATTTTGGATTTTCGAATATCCAAAAATTCAAAGTACCAAATCCATTAATCAATCCGAAATTCGAAAATTTAAAAAATTAAATCCATAATCTAAAAATCTAAAAACTTTGAATTTCGGTTTGGATTTCGGATTTGCCCAAACTATGCCCACTCCTACATGTTAAAGCCAAAACGTACCAAATATAAACAAAAATTGCAAATATGACGCAGTTTGGCATATTTTTAACTTTTGACCTCGGCTTGCCCCATGAGCAGAATCTCAAGGTCAAAAGTTGATAGATGGAACTTCGGCCTAACTCAACCCCAAAAGCTAGCTTATGAGGTGATGATTAACAAAGAGCATATAAGGAGACCAAGGACCTCAAATCCCTTTGATGTGAGACAACTCAACACCCCCTCACGCCCAGGACTGCAAACTGGAGCATGAACAACATAAATGGAGGCCCAACAAATGGACCTTGGGCCTAACTCAACCCCAAAATCTAGCTTATGAGGCGAGGATTGCCCAAGACCATATAAGGAGATCAATGACTTCAAATCCCTCCGATATGGGACAACTCAACAAAAGTTAAAAGTGTTGCCCTTGGAGCAAGCGAGAGGCAACACGGGTTAAACTTGAAATTCTACTTATAGGGTAAGCTGAGATAAAAATTCAAGACCATCCACTTTAAGGGCTATCTGTGTACTTCATCCGAATATAAAACTACCGTAAAGAAAGATGTAGTAGGAGATGCAAATTAGACAGTACACAATTTAATTTGGAAAATATGTCCAAAAAAAAGTTGATCGTTCTCTCTATCAAGCCACACAATATAAATAGATCAATACTTTGAGACACAAATTTTTTGGGTCACTCTCATTTGATGTTTATATAGTTCTCCCAATACAAAGAATTTAATGTTATGGTCTGCACGTCTAGACCTAGTTTGGAGATAATCACTTCTCATATTGAACAATAGCCAACTTGTTATCTCAAAATCTTTTAGTCTCATGCACGTTATTCAAAACCCTAAATCCAAACTCTTCACATTTTCAAAATAATTTGACATATATAGCTGGGGAAGAACTTATTTAGCTAGTTAATTAGCTTTCAAAACTCACATCCCTGAGTAGAGTGGCAAACTGGTGGGTCGGATCAGATATGGTTTGGATCGAAAATGGGTAATGAAAAAATGGATCAATTATCCGACCCGACCCATATTTAATACAGGTAAAATATGGGTTAACCGATGGATAATATGAGTAACCATATTATCCATGACTTCTTGCATATGATTATTTTTGGTAGAATTCATAGTCTCCCTAACTTGAAGAAGCCCCAATTTGAGGCTTTACAAATGTAAAATTTAGACTCATTGGTTATTCATTGGTTACCCATTGGTTATCCATTTACTAAATGAATAATATGGTTCTTATCCATATTTGACCCGTTTTTAAAAAGTTCATTATCTAACCCATTTTTTAGTAGATAATATGTTTTGCCACCACTATCCCCGAGCATTCTTAATTACTAGAAATTTCTAACTTGAAATTAGATACTCATCTGTTCGTTAAAATTTTTGCACACCCCTTAAGAAAGATATTTTAGTTAATATTCTTAATAATTAGATCATTTGTCTAAACTAGTGTTTATTTTTCTTAAAGGTCTTATATACATTTTTACGAGTGAATTTGAAAGGAAAAAAAAAAGTAATAAATTCTTTTTGCTTTTGAAAAAGGTTAAAATATATAAAACAAAATCAGTTCGTCAAAACAATTAAAATTTGAGACCAAAAACCGTACTAATCCTGAAGCCACTCAAAATGGTCTTTGTTGCTGTAAGTTTCGAGATATATCTATATCAAATTTCAATTTTTTATTTTATTTTTTTCCTTGCTCAGAAGCTAATAGATACAACATACATGTAACCAGATTTTTTTAGTTTATTGCCAACTGCGTCCACTCGGTATTTAGAATGTCAACCTCAGACATGGTCAGCACAAAATACATAAAAAAACATTTACAAAGTAATTGAAAGGGTCTTAATTTTCAGCTATATAAAGCGTACACAGCCTAAGAGCAAAACGTGCCATTTCAAGTTACTCACAAATTTATAAAGATGGCCAAATTCATAGCTTTTAATTCCTTGGTTTTGATCATTGCTACAATTGCTTTTCATTGTGCTATAGTCAATGGAAAGATTTCAAGTAGCATGTATGTTAATTGGGGTGCTCATCATTGTCAAATGCTAGGGGATGATCTTCAACTTGTCCTTGATAAATCTGCAGGCAAGTTTAATTTTCTTTTCATATGTATAATATATGCAAAAATTCTTAATTACTTGTGTAGCCTTCCCTTGTCAGCCTCGTTTGTTCCGATATTTTTTGGCTGCTATAGTGAAGTGCTGTTATAGAAATGATATATTATAACATTACACAAAACGGTTCCGAAAAATTTTGGCTTTTATAGTGAATAGTTGTTATATATAGAGATGATGTTATAGAGAGGCGTGACTGTATATATACATATTTTATATATAGTTTGAGTCGAAAATAATGGTTTCGATTGAAACCACAGAACCTGCTCTATATTTACCTCTGGCGGGAGGGGAGTGCCTCCCCAAATAATTAAGTGAAAAGGGGTGCCAAAATAAGAATGACATTTTTGTTTGATTGAGAAAAAGAAAAAAAAAAGCAGAATTTTTAAATTTTTAGGTTGACAATATTATTGACTAATTTGGTTCTAACTTTCAGGTTCTGGTGCGCAATCAAAAAGAACATTTCTCTTTGGTAGCTTTGAAATGCTTATCAAGTTGGTACCTAACAACTCAGCTGGAACAGTCACAACATACTATGTTAGTATATATATAGGCAAACCTCTCTATAACAATCTCGTTTGTTATGATGTTCTTTTGCTGCTATAGTGAAGTGTTGTTATAACGGACATATATTATAACACAACATAATAATCTTTTCCAACAAAAGCTTGACTTTTATAGTGAGTGACTGTTATATGGAGATGTTGTTATAGAAAGGTATGACCGTACAATATTCAAATTTGAATTTCTTAATAAGCAACTAACAAAATCAAAAAGGATGTTAAGAGTCAATCAATTGTACAAAAATTATTAGAATTCTATGTACTGATGATATTTTTATTTATTTATCATTTGCAGTTATCTTCTACGGGTACCAAGCATGATGAAATCGACTTCGAGTTTTTAGGAAATGTATCAGGACAACCTTACATTCTCCACACAAATATTTATACCCAAGGTGTTGGAAATAGGGAGCAACAGTTTTATCCTTGGTTTGATCCAACTGCTGATTTTCACAACTACACCATTCATTGGAACCCTAATGCTGTCGTGTAAGTCGATTTTTTCAGACAACTTTCTTCCATTATACGAAAACCAGCTTATATGTCAACTTTCCCTACTCTTAGTATCTATTTATTTATAAAAAAATTGGAGTGTATTTTGTATCACGAAATATACTTTTTGGAAAATAGTTTTTTCATAAAATAATCATTTTTTCGGTATTTGGTTGCAAATCCAAAAGGAGAGAATTGACTTCCCTCACTCTAGGAAGGAAGTCATTTTTCTCCAAAGATATCTCAATTCTTAAGTTTCAATCACCACCACTTAGACATTATTATTATCAATCTTTAATAAATATGATTTTTCGAAAAATATTTTTCACCATCCATCCGAATATGATCAAAAGCAATTTTCAGAAAGTAAATCATTTTCCGGAAAATGACTTTCATTATTCCAAATAGACGTGCAACCATATACAGTCAAACCTCTCTATAACAACCTCGTTCGTTCAGATATTTTTATTGGCTGCTATAGTGAGTGTTGTTATAGAGGACATATATTATAACATAACATAAAAATTGGTTTCGAAAAAAATTTAGTTTTTATAGTGAATAACTATTATATAGAGATGTTGTTATAGAAAGGTTTGACTGTATCTAATTAGAAAGCAAGAGAATCTTGAAATTTGATATGTCACTACTTTTTTTTTCCAGATGGTATGTTGATGGTATTCCAATTAGGGTATTTAGAAATTATCAATTCAAAGGAATTCCATATCCAAACCAACAAGGAATGAGAATATACTCTAGCCTTTGGAATGCAGATGAATGGGCAACAAGAGGTGGACGTGACAAAATTGATTGGACAAATGCACCATTTATTGCAACATATCGTAAGTTTAGGCCAAGAGCTTGTTATTGGAATGGACCATTGAGTATTGTTCAATGTGCTATTCCTACTAAATCCAATTGGTGGAATTCTCCTTTATACAGTAAATTGAGTGCTCCTAAAGTGGATCAAATGAACTCAATTAGGAGCAAATACATGATTTATGACTATTGCAAAGATACTACACGATTCAAGGGAGTTATGCCTATTGAGTGTTCATTGCCACAATACTAGAAGGACGTCAAAATTGGAACGATACAACGAAGATTAGCATGGTCTCTGCCCAACGATGACACACATCATGAATCGAGAAGGACGTCAATGTGAAAGCTGCACTTGTTCCATTTTCTTATCGGAAATAAAATCTTCAATGTACTCCCTTTGAGCTTCAATATTTTACTTCTCGTGTTTGTTATTTTTGTTCTCCAAAATATTTTGTTTTGGTTGTTTTGAGCAAGAAGATCTTGCTGAGTTGATCTCTAATTTATGTACTCCATTCTTTTTAAGTAAAAATTTGGTTGTTTGTATTATGCTCCCAAGGTTCAAATTCTCCTTTCTTTCTTTTAATATTGCTTTCTTTTATCTTTACTTTTGTAAGGCATCAGCTATCAACTCAAGGCTATTTTGCATTTATTTTCTTTTCATTATTTTGAATGAACAACTCTTTCAAAAAACTCGTGTTAGTTGTAAACTATGAATTTTGAATGAGGTGAATATTTGTCCATCTAAGAAAAAACCATAACTACTCATCTCTAGTATAAAGAATGAAATTTAAAACAGATATTGTGACACTATTTTCTTATTAGTCCATTTTACAAAAAAAATTATATTATTTATATATTTGGAAAGAACTTAATTTTAAACTTTCTTGTTTAACTTTAATGGCATGCTTTTATAAATACAAAAATCTAATGGCATATGACACAACTAAAAAAGGGGGAAAAACCGACCGATATTGGTCGGTAAGTGGCAAAAATCGACCAAAAACCGATCGATTCGTGGCGGTCGGTAATAGTAACATAGGTAGAGCTAACCAACCGACTTTGATCGGTATTTTTCTACCGATTTAGGTCGGTCAATTAAATACAAAAAAAATTGCCGAAAAAACTGACCGAAGTTGGTCGATTTTTTTCGACCAAAGTCGGTCGGTATTTTAACTATGTAATTAAAAACTGTACCATCTGGGAATCGAATCGAGATCTATACTATAGCAGAATACTATTCTACCACTAGACCATTGGTGCATTTTGTTTTAAGACCGTCTTTTATTTCATTTATACTCTTTAATTGTATTTTCACACGAAAATAACCGTTTTATTAAATAATAAAATTACCGATCGAATTCGGTCGGTTTTTTAAAATGACCGGCCGAATCGGTTTGTTTTTTAATATTGATTTTAATTTATTCTAAAAAAAACAACCAAAATTAGTCGGTTTCTTGAAAAATAAATTTCACGGGATTCAAAAATAGTTTTCCACATTTTGCGCCAAAGAAAACCGACCGAAGTTGGTTGGTTTCGTCGGTCAACCGCAGTTTATTTTTGCCAAATTACTAGTAGTGTGAAAGACTAAAAGTCTTTATTTGTTTTCTTAATTCTCCTACACTAGTCAAACTGTACAACATAAATTAAAGAGGAGTATATATTTATATAAAAATATTTATTGTACTATTAGTGTAATTTAACATATGGTAACAAGTTATTGAAGTAATTCAAATATTATTCATCCACATTTATTGTAAACAATTAACTATAATTGGATTTTAAGTAACTTGATAGTGTAAAATTTTTTGCTATAATTTGTTAAGCATAGCGTTAATTTCTAACTAGTTAACGAAGGAATTACACTTTCACCGGACTAAAAAGTAAAAAGGTGAAAGGAGAGAGAAATACCAACATCTCTCTAACTTGAAACTAACCAAACAGCCACCCAGAAATGGCCACTTCTCCACTCTTACATAGAGAGACCTCATCGGAATACCACCGGAACCTCCTGATATATAAATCCTAGACCTAAGCTCCGCTATGGATGAGGACAACACGGTGAAGAATTCCTTCAAGAAAATCATACTAGAAAATTTTTTAGTTTCCTCCACAAACTATGAGCCATACCAATCCGGGCTACAAAACCAAGTTTTTGAACTAAACCCTGAGAACATATACCCATCCCATTATCAATTGAAGACAAAATCAGGCTCTACAAATATTGGAAATACTCCTTGATTATCAAATTGTTTGGGGGAAAAATTTCACATCATCTATTAAAGGCTAAACTTACTATTCTGTGGAAACCAAACGAACCACTCACCCTAATTGATTTAGGATGAGACTTTTTCATTGTCAAATTCAATAAAGAGGAAAGCATGAGCAAAGTCCTAAGCGATGGGCCATGATTTGTAGCTGGGTGATCGCTGCCGACTCGACACTACGCTATGGTAGGAAGAGCGGATCGCAATAGCTTTTGCCCGAATAGAAGTCCGGGATCGAATTTCCACGGGGAGCTAGTAATGGAGTTGTATTTTCTGTCTAGCCTAGAGTTGCGGTTGTGCTTCTAATGTCACTTCAAATATTTTTTTAATTTTTTTATTTATAACTACTATTATAAAACTAAGGATTAAAGCTAAATTATGCTAAGAGAATATTGCTAAGTTGTAATTAATGGGTAGAAGAGCACTAGGGTCGTAGCATCACCTAGATGGCTAATTGACGGGTAGATGTTACTAAGGATAGATAGACATATTTGGGGACTATGCTGTAACCGTTGCACAATTGCACCCACTCTTACACCTCTCAGTAGAGAGAGTGATTTTGCCCAATTGACTCTCTCGAAATCAATTGGGCAGGCCAATGAGACCAAGCAACTAGGGTTCAAGTAGGGTGATTACTCTCTCGAGATTTAACCCGTTAATTGGGACTACCATTTCTCATGGGTCCATCCTAATTCCTTGTTGGGTCAATTTTGGGATCATAAACTCTCTCTTTCGAGAAGAGTTAAATCTACTAAGCTTGAATCAGTGTTTGCAACCATCAATTCTTGAATAAAAATATAAAATCAACCCAAATAGCAAAAAACCAATATCAATCCAATCCTAGATGGCAACACCCATCAATTACCCACACTAGCGTTGAGCCACAACCCTAGCTAATGGGTTTAGCTACACATAATTATAGAAGACACTGAAGAAATAGATGAAAAACTAAACATATTAATTAATTACTAAGAAGAAACTACAATAATCTATTGTTAATGGGGAGCAAAAATGTCAAAAAAATGGCTACAATATCGGTCTCACGAGCTCAGCTGCGTTTCTGAATACAAAACTTAACCTAAAAATGGTAAAATGTCTTATTTATAGTGTCACACCTCCATTTTACCTGCGCCCGCCTCAAAGGGGCGCAGAAGGGGAGTTTTTCCAATTAAGGGACAATCAAAACGAGATTTATTTATTTATTTCAGAGTCGCCACTTGGGAGATTTATGGTGTCCCAAGTCACCGGTTGAATTCCGAATCGAGGAAAAGAATGACTCTGTTTAACAGTCTGCGCACCAGAAATCCGGATAAGGAATTCTGTTATCCCGGGAGAAGGTGTTAGG